TATCCATTGCCGAGGATTGATGACCTATTCGATCAGCTACAAGGTTCAAGTTATTTCTCAAAGATCGACTTGAGGTCAGGATATCATCAGCTGAAAGTAAGAGAGCAGGATATAGAGAAGACTGCGTTCAGAACTAGATATGGACACTATGAGTTCTTGGTTATGTCGTTTGGACTAACCAATGCTCCGGCAGCATTCATGGATTTAAGGAATAGGGTTTGCAATCAGTTCCTTGATAAATTTGTGATAGTGTTCATAGATGACATTCTGATTTACTCGAAAAGCCAGGAGGAGCATGGCAGACACTTGTGAGAAGTTTTAGAAGTCTTGAAGAAGGAGAAGTTGTATGCTAAGTTCTCCAAATGTGATTTTTGGATTCGTGAAGTCCAATTCTTGGGTCACGTGGTCAACCAAGAAGAGATAATGGTTGATCCAGCGAAGATCGAAGTTGTGATGAAGTGGGAACAACCGAAAAGTCCCACGGAGATCCGAAGCTTTTTAGGATTAGCCGGATATTACCGAAGGTTTATCCAAGGCTTTTCTTCGATTGCTACTCCATTGACAGCTTTGACCCACAAAGGAGCTACTTATGCTTGGAGTGAGAAGCATAAGAAGCATTCGAGAAGCTAAAGAAGAAACTATGCGAGGCACCGATACTTTCTCTACCCGATGGAGTTGAAGACTTCGCTGTTTATAGTGATGCGTCTGGGGTTGGATTGGGTTGTGTTTTAACCCAAAGAGAAAAGGTGATAGCATATGCGTCTCGACAACTAAAAGAGCATGAAAAGAACTACCCGACTCATGATTTGGAGTTGGCAGCGGTAGTATTCGCTCTGAACATATGGAGGCATTACCTTTATGGCACGAAGTGCAAACTTTTCACTGATCATAAGAGTCTCCAATATCTCTTCAATCATAAAGAGTTAAATATGAGGCAACGACGCTGGCTAGAGTTACTCAAGGACTACGACTGTGAGATACTTTACCATCCCGGTAAAGCTAATGTTGTTGTTGATGCTCTCTGTCGGAAAGTCAATCTTGAAAGGAAAAGGCCAAGAGCATTGAGAATTGAAGTTGTCTCGACTATTTTGGAAAGTATAAAGAAAGCTCAAAGCGAAGCTTCTGAGAAGAATGATCGGAAGGAGGAACGTTTGGGCAAAACGTTGGTGTTTGGGGTAAACAGTCATGGACTAAAGGTGTTCCAAGATCGGATTTAGATACCTAAGATAGGAGGAGTCAGAGATCTTCTGATGGAAGAAGCTCACAAGACCATGTACTCGATTCATCCCGGTAGCACTAAAATGTATAGGGACCTGAAACCCTACTACTGGTGGACGACGATGAAGCTTGATGTTGCAAGGTATGTGGCCGAGTGTGTGACTTGTGCGAGAGTCAAGACACAACATCAGAAACCGTATGGGAGTTTAGAACCTTTACCTGTGCCTATGGGTAAGTCGGAAGACATTGCTATGGATTTCGTCACTAAACTACCCAGAACGAAGAATGGTCACGACATGATTTGGATGGTTGTCGATCGATTCACTAAGAGTGCGCATTTCATAGCAGCCAGGGAGAAATGGTCTATGGAAAAGCTTGCGAATTCTTATGTGAAGGAAATTGTGAGACTTCACGGTGTTCCGCAAACCATTGTGTCGGATCGTGATAGCCGTTTCACAATCACGATTTTGGAAAAGTCTACAAGAGGAATTGGGTACCAAGTTGTGTTTAAGTACAGCTTACCATCCGCAGACTGATGGTTAGAGTGAAAGAACGATACAAACACTTGAAGATATGCTGAGAGCATGTACCATGGAATTCCTAGGTAACTGGGATGAACATTTACCACTGGTAGAATTTTCCTATAACAATAGTTTTCACTCGAGCATTAAAATGGCACCTTACCAAGCTTTGTATGGACAAAAGTGTCGTACGCCGTCTTGTTGGCTTGAGGCTGGGGAAAAAACAGTTTATGGGACCGGAGATGGTTCATCGAACTGCTGAAAAGTTGAAAATAATTAGGGAAAGAATGTTAGCGGCTCAGGATCGTCAAAAGAGCTATGCTGACAAAAAGCGAAGACCGATGACTTTTGAAGTTGGGGATTCGGTTTTACTTAAAGTCTCGTCGTGGAAGGGACTTATAAGATTTGGTAAAAGGGGAAAATTGAGTCCAAGGTTTATTGGACCGTTTAAACTTCTTCAGAGGATTGGGAACCAAGCTTACAAGCTCGAACTACCAGAAGAACTGAATGGAATTCATAACACTTTTCATGTGTGTTATTTACAGAAGTTCACTGGGGAAGTTCCCGACATGATTCCACTTTCAGAGTTGAGAATCGATGAGAACAAAAGGTTGATTGAAGAACTAGAGGCAATTGTTGACCGAAAGACTAAGAAGTTGCGATGCAAGATGGTCGAGTTAGTGCTTGTCCGATGGAAACACACGCATGGGCCGAATCTCACCTAGGAGACGGAGAGTGACATAACGGGTCGCTATCCGCATTTGTTTGTTGAGGTGTGATTCCGGGGACGGAATCATTCTACGGTGGGGAGAATTGTAACGCCTGTGTTTCTGGGCTTGCCATTTTTAGCAATGTGATACTCTAGGTTAACCTTTGTAACCCGTTTTGAAATAATAGAAGTGTATTATTTGAGTATTATGTGTTTTGTGCTTAATTGCTTAATTATGTGGTTTGATTAATTAAGGATAAAAACACAAACATCAAAATTGAAGTGTAAAATAAACTCGATATCTTTAGATAATGTTGTAGTAGTTGAAACAAGGTTTCCGAAGATATAAACAATGCCGAAATCCAAGTTATAACGAGGAAGTTATGACTTTGTCGAAGTTTCGCGACAGAACCGGCAACGCTGAATAACGTAAAAAGTGAAATTTACGTTAGAGCGATATTTAGCCTTAGTGATCTAAACGAGAATCGAAGATCTCGTTGTTAGTATCAAAGCGATAAAAAGTTAGGCGAGAACGGACGTCAAACGAAGAAGTTATGAATTTATAACGAAATTTTCTGTCCCGACCTATTAAAAATAGATAATAAAAATAAAGTCAAAATTAGCCGACGGAGTCTAAACGAAAGTTGTAGAGCGTAGTCTCACCTTCGCGTGGATATAAAGAACGTCGAAAACGGAGTTCGTATGAAGGAGATATGAATTTTCGAAGTTTATTAAATAATTAATAATTAAATTTAATTATTAAATACCGGCCTTATCCGAAGACGAGTCACCGGACTCATCCGGAGTACGCCCAGCGTACTCGAGTACGCCCCGCGTACAGCCAGAGTGTCGACACTTCGGATGACGCATGCAGTGACGCATTTCGGAGCCCTGTACGCCCCGCGTATTCCGAGGCATCAGCCTCCTATAAATAGGATGCGAGGGGTCCGAGTATTCTTGCTCATTTCTTCTCCTCTTTGTGCCGAAGCTCTGCGTTTTAACCCCCGAAGCCCCGGTAATATTCCCGAGTCCCGAAGCAAGTCCCGAGATCCCGAAGATCCCGAGAAGTGCGGTTTCCGAGCCGAAGCTCTGCCCGCGAGAAGTTCGATTTTTGTAGAGATCTTCCAGATCTGCTGAGAATTACGACTTCTGCAAGCCGTAGTGTTGTCCGATCATCTTCTGATCAAGTCAGTGTATACTAGCTTTCATAAACACGATAATAATACAAGTATGGTTTGAGTGTATTAAGTTTATTGTTGTTTATATGTGTGAGTGTGTAGTTACTTTCTTCTAACGCATAATTATGAAGTATTTTATACGAAATACGTGTTATGTGTATAGTTTTGTTGTTATGTACGTGAATGTATATTCACTCTCTTTAATCACATAGATCTGATTTGTTTTCTATGAAATACGTGTTATGTAGGTATGCCTCATCTGTTACGTGAAATATGTATTGAATGAAAATGCTATACAGGTTTTAAACTATGTATAAAAATATATATTTTTATCTACTAATATGTTGGGTAGAACATGGGTAGATAGTTGGTGTGTAATAAACAGATGAGAGGCCTCGATGTTGTTGTTGTTGATGACCTAGTTATTCAGCGGAGTATGGATAACGACCACAGACTCCTTCTAGACAGTCTCGTGGAACGCTAGCGGGTTCATAACCTGTAGGTGTTGTGAACGATGTGTTCACCGATGTACTCTATCCCCCCCATGGTTGCCTTAGGATATCTATTGTTGAGGAAACCCCTTAGCAGTAATGTCCGTCCCGATAAAAATCCGAGATTAGGTCCCTTGAGATTGATGTTGTTTTAGGGAAGTAAAGTGAGGATAACGGGAATGGGTAATCGGGATAGTGATTGGTTGGTGAAATTAAATATAATTTATTTATTGTGGGTTGAAAACCCTATATGCTCACCAGGCTCCCAAGCCTGACCCACTCAGTTTTATTTGTATTATAGGAAGTGGCGCAAGGGCGTAAGATGGATGAACCATCAAGTTGTTTTGTTTACAAGTCTCTCTCTCTCTCTCTCTCTCTCTCTCTCTCTATATATATATATATATATATATATATATATATATATATATATATATATATATATATATATTTTGAATGACTTGTAATGTTATTGTTTATGCTTAATGGTCTGTATCGGAACATGACACCCCGAGTTTTAATTAATGAAATTGCATCTCTTGATGAAATGCTTTGATAAATATTATTTTATCATGTTTTGTTTTGGGAACAAATTCCGCAACACTTTTAAATCAAAAGGATTTACTCTGAAATTATTTTAAAAAGCATAAATGAAATCGGTCTTTTCTGGCCGTGATTTTGGGGATGTCACACATACTAACCTCTATGCCAAATTTAGTCTTTACTTCCTCTTTTAACATCCTAACATTGAATTTTTGATTCTCAAGCACTTCTCGGGGGAAATGACTACCAATCCATTTGTAATTAACAATTGACCCTAATTTAAAATTTCTTGCACAATTGTGGTCAATGATAAGGGACTTGATTTGGAAAGAGTGATCCTCACTCATCCATGATGCCCAAAGCCTAATTGTGCATTAACCATTACTACACTTAACCAATAACCTTTTACTGTAATTTTTTTCAAAGTACAATTGATATCCATTTGCTACAGTATAATTACAAATCATAAATTTTAATTGTTTAGGGTTCGTGAACCTCATACCTAGAATTGACAACTGCTTCTTCCAAGGTATGTTTTCATTAAACATCGGTTTTCCTTTCACATCTGGGACATTATCATCTTTATCATCTTTTGGATCACCTTCTGTGGCCTCCTCATTTCCATTACCCTGACTTACTCCTTCATAGGTTACTCCTTCCATATTGATTTCTTGTGGAATCTTAATTTCAGTATGGTCAATACCTTCTTCCCCTTCGATTGATATGTTTGACTTAACCGAACAATTATCCTCATTTTCATTTTCATATGCCTTCGTTACATGTAGAGTAGTACCAAAATGGTCCATGTAAACAGAAACTTGTACTCCACATTCATAAGCAATGTCTATAAATTCTTTATATTGACGTTCATTTGAAATCAAGGTTAAAACCTTCTGGGATTTGTAAATCGGGTTGACAGTAATAAACTTTCTCACACTTCTCTTGTGTGAATCGTTCAAGAAAACCCACAAACTCATTATATAACATGCCAGCAAAATCGACGTTCTCGAACACATGATGAACACCATCAGAATAGCAAAAAGGTTTGTTGATGAACACACCTTGGAAATAAACTTTGATTGATAGGAATATAGTCATCGATCTTTAGTTACTATGGTGGGACGACAAGGGTTTTCTTCAATGAGTGGGAGGGGATTGTATAACGCAAACAGTTTACTTTATAACAAATTAATACAAGTATAACACACGTGGCCATTTCATTAAATGACGTGTCACCAACATTTTCCCTCGTGACATGTATATTACCTATCAACCCGGTAGAAGGTAACATAAGGGTATTTTAAAATAGAGAAATGAAAGTATATTTCTTTAATATGCAAAAAAAATTAGTTCGGGGATCTTTTAAAATAAACACGAAAAGTTTGATGGGTTGATATGATATTTGCCCAAATATTTAATTTCATTTTATTTTTATTTCTTGGTTTATAAAAATATTAAAATATAGAAAATATTAAAATATATAAAACACGTTGACACGTATTATTATTTGATTATAAAAAAATAAAATATATAATAAATAAAAAGTTGATAGTAATTAAATGATAGGTATGAGTTTAAAAAAATAGCTTTTAGTAATCATAGTTATTGATATTATAAATATAAGGAAATTTATACCTATAAAATCATTAATGAGAGGGTCCCTTAAAAAAATCTAGGATCCAATTAATAGTATCTAAACTTATTCCAAATTTCCGCACTGCAGTTTGATTTGCTAGCTTCCTCAAATAATATGTTCGGACAAAAAATGAAGCGGCAGAACGAGAGCTACTTCCTTCCGCTCTCAACATTTTCCAATTAGGTAATATTCGAAACTTCAAGCTTTGTATTTGTTAGAATTTTATGCAAATCTAGAGAGAATTAGAGTTTAAAATGAGAAATATGCTTGGGTATTAAATTTTATTTAAATGGTGATTTTAAGGAGGGGAAAAACCAAATGTTGCAAAATAGACGCTAGCCTCAATTTATACCAGTTTGTTTCTTGGTTGGACCAGTGTGGACAGCTCCATTCTTCACACAAGACTGGTTTGTACTGGATGGACCGATTTGGAGTAAAAAAAATATTGGCCGGTATGCAAAAATATTGAACCTATTAGGACATGCCTATATGTGCACATCGATAGTGTATAGAATCATCAACATGTTATCGTAATATAGACTTATGAACATACCAACCCAAATTTGACCAAAGAACCCGCCAACCTTTGAATCCGTATAAATAAATTGGTTGATGGGCCGTATATGATTTATGTTACAAACCCATCAACCCATGACCCGCCAACCCGTGACCTGTATAATTAAATAGGTTGTATTTTGATTGGTATACACGCCAACCCAAACACGATACGATTATCAGACCTAATATATTATAATTTATTGTTTTTTTTTTTATTATAATCATAATATTATACAACAGCACAAAAACAAAATTTAGACTCTACATTTAACGGTATCTATTTTATTTTTTCTTGTGTTATAATATATTGATTTTATTCAATGTTATTTATTTAACACATTTTAAATAATAAATTGTTTAAAAAACAACAGACCATATGAAAAAACTATAAAAATTTTCACAAAAAAAGCAAATCCTTTAAACGTGGTTAAATTAATTGCTTTAGAAGAAAATGTTTTAAATGTACTTAAAGATAGGAGAATATTTAGATTAGCAGCATTAGTAGAAAGATAAAAGTGGGAAAACAAAAAAAATTATCTCATTTATCATTTCCTTTCATTTCAACAACTTCCCATTACTTTCTCAAATATTCATCTATCCATACATCACTTCATTCGGACAACACTTAATAAATAATTGAATTAAAAAAATTAAAAATAAAACGAAATCTTAACATATATATACATATCCACGCAAAACTAAAGATAGCAATCAAAAAATTAAACAACTGAACATAACCAATTCTACAAGATAAAATAACAACTATCATACCGAAAAACTACTAGGAGTAAAATAGAAAAACATTTACCAAAATAAAAGACACAAAAAAAAAAAAAAACATCTACTTAAAGATCCATGCTTTGCTTCCAAGGGCAAATATGTCATAAAGATAAAACTTCACCCCAATCTTCAAAAACCCAAATTGAGCAAATCGGTGTTATACATTGGAGCCAGTATCACAACAAAGATCTGCATTCATAAAACAAAAGACTTCTAGTTTATGTCCCTAATAAAGAAATATCCAATGGTGTTTGACTAAAGAAGCAAACCAAAGAGTAAATTACATGAATGGTCCTTATGGTCTGGGGTAATTTGCGCGTTTGGTCTATAACTTATTTTTTTTAACTCGGAAGTCCCTATTGTTTGTTTTTGTTACACCTTGGTCCCTGTCTTACCTATACAAACAGTAGGAACCTTCCGAGTTAAAAGAATAAGTTTGAGACCAAACACATAAATTACCCAAAATCATAGGGACCATTCATGTAATTTACTCCAAAGCCAAAAGGAAACAACCATACAGTCCAGATTACACGCTTAACCCATTAAGTCAAAAAGAAACATCACCTAAGAGTTATTTAAGTTCGTGTTCTCAAATAAGACTAATGGCATAAAAGCCCTTAAGTTTAGCAGAAATGTTCAGTTTTACCCTGTTACATATTTTTTGTTCATTAAAGCCATAAGTTTGTAACTTTTTTTCAATTTTACCCTTTTGCATATTTCTAGTTCATTAAAGCCCTTAAGTTTTGCAGAAATGTTCGGTTTTACCCTCTTTTCTGGTTTATTAAAGCCCTTAAGTTTGATAGTAATGTTCGATTTTACCCCATAAAACTACAAAAAGGGTAAACTTGAAAATAAAGTTGCAAATATAAACTAATTTTGTCATATCATGCATATAAATCCTTAAGAATCACAAAGGCTAATCCCAATATGTTGCATGTGTGTATAAATTTGCATCACTATGACACTATTAATCAATATTGATTACATACCTTTAAAGTTAATAACCACCATATGCAACACCAATTCCACCACCAACACCACCACAATGACCGACCTGATTCGCAGGGAAAACACCTCCCTGCCCCTGCCCCTGCCCCTGCCCGATCCCAGAAGGGGCAGTTCGGTCAGCACCAGAACCAAACCCATTCTTTTCAATCTCCAAAAGTCTAACCTTTGTACTTGATGAAAACCTAATCTTTTCAACTTTCACAACACTCGATTTCACACGTTGCTCATCACCCCAACTCTCTTCCTTCACTTTCAACTTAAAACAATACTCATTATGAAGAACACCACGAACAGTTTCAGTAAACTTATCATTATCTTGCTCTTCATATCTCATATCATGCAAATCTTTAGCAGAATACCCCATAATCTCCTCACCAATTTCTTGAAAAGCAGTCACCCATGTTGACCCAGTATGATCTTGGATTTCTAGTTGCAAAATATATCTGTATTCACATTCATCAACAACCTTATCACATTTCAAACACTTCCATTTCCCATCTCCATTATCCACAACTTTTTTGCTGCATTTTCTTTCACCTGTCATTAATGGACATGCAGTGTAGTAAAAGTTTTCAAGTTTCATATGCCAGATTGTGGCATTGATTGTTATGTAATCAGGTTTTTCAGAAGTCCCGAGTTTTTCATCTTTGATTTGAGAGATAGTTTTGAATGAATCTGGATGTGTGGTGGAATTAGAGAGAGAATTGAGTGACATGGATACAGATGGGGTGTTTTTTCCAACACTTTCAAACCATGTTTTGAGTTTTTTAGCTTCTGGGAAATCAGGGTTTATGCTGAGCTGGCTTGATACTATACTTGTTAATGTTTTTCCATTGAAATCACATGCTCTAGCTGATTTCACAGCAAGGATAGGGAATTCACCTGAATCAGACATTTCTTGAAGTGTTTGACCTTCTTTGTTACAAAAGTCACCCCATAAAGTCAACTCAATGCTTCTTGTAGACATGTCTTTGAGAAAAATTGTTCTTTTTTGAGCTTCCATTCCGTTTTTTCTTGTGATTGATGATATGGGGTTGACATTGGTTACAACACCAATGATATCTAGAACTGTGTTGTTTTCCATTTCTTCAACTTCACTGATTAAACGGAAGTGAAACTGCTGATGTGGAATTGAGGTGTCATCATCAAAGCATTGCTGAGCTGTTGAGGTGTGGTCGAGGGTGATTTCAAAGTCGTTTTTGAGATGATTGAAGGCTTTTTGAGCAGGTTTTAGGGTTCCTTTTGAGAGATAGTAAACTTTTCCTACTTCAATTTGGTTGTAGAAAGTGTCAGCTACTGTATTGAAACAGGTGGCTCGGATTTCTCCTCCATCAGAATCAAGAAGATCAAAGGAGAAAACTTTTCCATCTCCTTTTGCATTGTTGTAGCGTCTGAGTTCACTTTTTGAAGTTACTCTGGCTTTAATTGTCCATCTACCTTGATAGGGATTTAGAGCTGCAATTGGTATGATTCTTGGAGGAGCTTCGTTTTTAGCCATGGGTCCTCTGTTGGCATACATTGGTGGTGGTTGAACTGGCGGCATACGGTTGTTTGCAGCAGGGGGTTGTGGAGGGCCATAAGAAGGTAAGCTTGTATTGGAATGTGGGCGAATAACAGGTCCAGGAGGTGGAGCTTGGTTGGAAAATCGGGTGTCATTGACAGTTGTTGGTGGTTGATTGGAAGAAGATTGTGTAGGTGGTGAAGGTCTTGTCATTGAAGGAGTATCTCCACCAGGGAGTTTTAGAGGGAATGGCTTTGGATCACCAATGGTATCACATTTTTCCATAATCACGTTGAGATTGATGATGATGATAATACTGCACAAAAGAAGTTGAAGAGATATGAGTATAACTGTGAAAGAATTATACAATAGTTGTGAGAGATAGGCAAGAACTTGTATGCACATGGGAAATGCAAAGATGATGCAAATAGAAGGTTTAATCATTAATGTATATCATTTGCTTCAAGAAGAAACCAAATCGTATGATCTGAATTGTGAATCGCTGAGGACTTAATCCATATCGCAAAAGAATG